GATTGCTATGAATAATTACGACGATATCGACACTGCACCATATATCAAAAGAAATTAATACTGGCGCCACTCGTAATATTTTCACTTTCTTCTATGAGAAATCACTATTCGTCGGTTCAATGCATAATGACAATCGTTGATTATCTACGTAACCATTCCAAATGTTTTTTTCATTTCATGATTTTCGCACCAGACTACATCACATTAACACGAATGCATACGAAACGAACACTGATTTCAATTCACGGACGCGTTCGATACTTCTCATGGAAAACAACATAGATAATTGTTTGAAACGACATATATCTTTGATAAGAAACGTGAAGAAATATAAAACTCACGGATAATTTAATTTCTTCTCAGACATGAAAATAACGAAAGAATTACATTTATCGAATCGATACAAATCGCAGTACACATACTTAGATAACGGTTTATCTCGTGTATGTCGTTAAATGATTTGTGGTTTAATAAGAAGCGAACACTTTAATCTAGTTCAACGACAAAGTTCTTCTAAAATGTCATTTATAAAAAATTTATTTTTCTTTGACGAATAACCGTGTCACCAAATTCACTTGATCACTTTGAAACTCAACACTTCGTTCAATTTTTATCGTCTATTTACATGCAATTCGATTTAAAGATTACTATTTTTAATATATTCACTGAATAAATTTGAATGATTACAATAGATGTTTTCGAAATTTTTCAGAATATTTTTCCGATATGAATATATAATTATCGAAAAAAAAACTCCATAAATTTATGACACTAAACATTTTCTCAATGTTCGTTCACACGACGCGAACGTTCCACTGTAAAGTTGGCAACTCGTATCGATTACGCGTCGATTTTAAGGAAAATTCACTTCGATCAATTTGTCGATAGTCGGCTCGAAAGGTCCGAACGCGAAACGACAGAAATGCCGAGAATCGTCGAAAATGAGTGAAGCAGAACGTTGGTATCGTCCCCGGTAAGCCGGGACCGGCGCTCGCGTGGAAATCAAGAGTAACACTGACTCGATCGTCGAGTTGTGGAGCGATAGGTGGACCGTACGTGCGAGTTGGTCCTCCCGCATGCGAAACGTGGCAAGTTCGGGGTGCGTATGCGGTTGCAATGTGCACACCGGTCGCTATGAAGCCGCTAATATAAACAATGAAGAGAACGTCAATAGCTACAATGTGTTCAATGTTTTCGATAAATATGGTATCTTTGCTTTTTCTTTCGATGAAATGTGCGACTTCGTTACTAAGAATATCTCGCTTCGGTTTAACGCTCGAGAACTTCAAATCGTTTATAATTTCACCAATATCGTCCTCTTTATGTTGACACTTTTTGGATAAAACGATATTATCGAAAAAAATTTTCTCGATATTCCAATCGAGAACGATGGTAAGTTTGTTTTTTATACGCCACTTTCGCGAAAGTTTGTCGCTATCGAATAAGGTTATGTTTCTCTCGTTGAAGAATTTCAAGCAAGCATTAACGAATAACGCAGAGTTCGTTATGATTTCATTAATCGTATCTTTTTCTATCTTCTCATCACCGCGTATATCAAAAGCGATCAATTTTCCGATAAAAATGTCTCTTAATCGTCGAACGACAATTTCTAGTCTGGAAGCGGAATCCCGTTCTCCAGTATTTTTTCGATGATATACTTCGAATCTCGGTTTCAAAATGTCCTCGATTATGTTGCAGGCGATGAAATTTTGCGCAGGGTCGATGATAAATTTTGACGTAGTGTCAGAAAAGTTGGAACGACGCATGGCCATACGGAACACCGTGAGAGCCGATGATCGCTGCAGACTGCTCTGTCCGAGAGCAGCGAGGCTTCTCCGCAACGGCGAAACCGTGTACTCTGGTGCTGCTGTCGGTTGCTTCTCCACCACGGCACGAGTACCGTGCTGTCGTGGCTCCTCACCACCACGTAGAACCCTAAATCCTGCGTAACGCACGCCCCCACTCTCCCTGAAACGTTTCCCCACCAACATGCTTCTATCCAACATCCCCGTTGCCGAAGATCGACCATCACGCAACCAATTCCTGTATTTTAGAAGAGTTGCTTGTGCGCTTCGTTTCAATCGTGAATGAACTTGCTCTTCAACCTGCTGTCCTATAATCTTTGTAAGGCTATTGTATGCGGATTTAAAGATAATATGTTTATTTATTATTCAATCACGATTTATTTCAAAATTTTTGCACAACACTATTAATTAATTTTTTGTATATTTTCAGGAATCATCCGAGATAAATATATTTTTATATTTAACACTTCATCGAAGTAATTACGAAGTACACGATTTATCATTTGATGCATTTATCAATCCAAAATTGAAAGTATTTGACAAATCATCGTAATTTTGTGGCCACCTTTTCAATTGGATGTAATCAATATTTTACTATTGGAAACACACTTCATCGATCGAACGTAACAACATATCCTTTGCACGGAGCCAGAGTTCGACGAGTTCTGTTCGAGATGCACCTGGAATGATGCATAACGCAGGGTCCATGCATAAAACATCCCCACTTCTCGGTTCCATGACGACGTCAGACCAATCTCCGGCCACGCGAACAGGCTTAAACTACTTATTTCTTCGCAAGCTGCTTATCTCAATCTTGGAACCGATCGCGAGGTTCGATGCACCAGGCGCAGAGATACTGGTCGCACTACACAGGGCGCCGCTCTAAAAATAGCAGGAAAAAAATTTTAACGCAGAGTCACGCGAATTACCGGATTCCTTTTAATTCCGTAGATATTAACACCGCCTTGGTTTTTTCAGAATATTATTTTCGTTTCGCGAAAACGTTTTAAAAACATATGTCAGATTTAAAAGTGTGGCTTTAAGCCCGCATGTACAATTATGTTTGAAAATTATTAAAAGGAAGAAACTTAATTTAGATCTCGGAATTTTTATCTGCAAGAAATATTGTATCCATTTTAATCTCTTAAAAATAATCTTTCAATTCAGATTTTTTGTTGTAGGTGTGTATTGTATGTGATAAATTAAATCAAGGGAATACAATTCTTTTTTGAGTATAAATAAAAATAGAATTTCTAAATAAAAATATAGTTTATATTTTAAATTTATAAATTGTATTAATTTATATGTTATGTATGAATTTCAAATTACAGAAATATGTATACAAAATTAATTTCACTATATTATAGAATATTATTTTATTTAAAAAATAAAATATTATATATATTTTTATATATAATATAGAATAATAAAAAGCAAAGACTGATTGAATTTGAAAATTTAAAACCTTATAAAGTTTTGAAACTTTAAAAAATCATTAAAATCAATTTAAAATCTTTTTACAAACTCATTTGAATAACTTCGCAATATCTTCATGTATTATTTATATAAATTTGATATTTTTTTACACAGATTTTTAATTATAAAATAAAAATAACAAAATAAAAAATACAAAATAAAAAATTTCAAAAAACTTGAAAACTTTATGAAAGATTTCAAAATCCTAAGATTTGTAACATTCTATCTCTAATGAAAAATCAATCATTAAACAAAAATCAAATATATTTGACGTGACATTTATATTTTTCTGTTACATATTTCTAATAAGACAATTACTATTGGATATTTAAAAGTCAACAAGGATAGATGTCAATGAATAATAAAGAGTAACAAAATGAGCTATAAAATATGACGAACGTTCGAGGTTTCACACTTCATATATGGTACGATTCATCTTGCCAAGCATTATGGAGTCTTTATCTTTCGAACTCGTTTAAGACTCGTTTTGGCACTCAGTTCTCGCGATTGCATCCGCTTCAATTATCCATGCTCTTGTTCTAAGAATAGTTTAAGCATGTTTTAAGGAAACATCCACCCTAGAATTTACTTGCCACTTGTAAATTTTCTTCTCGAGAAGGAACGTAGAAACTGGTAGAACAGTGTTATCTCAAGAAAGATTTAACACCGATATAAAGCAAAGAACGAGAGACTTTTAGTTAGTACTTACATCAGACTTAGACTTCGATTAAAACATGTAGTTCCTTCCATTCGTTCATTCTTTCAAGATAAAGTTCTTAAGAACTAAGCCGACTGGATTTATAGAGGCAGATTATGATTTTTGTTAAATTTAACAACTGTTCATAGTAACAGAAAGATAATAGATCATTCTTCTTACGTAATTACACTTGTATTTGTATCGAATTTTTATCAATGGACCATTACTGAACGTGCAAGCATGACTAATCTTATAAAATTTACGATTAGGATAAAGGATACCTTGTCAGGTTTGACTGTATTTCAACTCGTTTGTTAATTTTTAAACATGCTTAAACTATGTATACGTTTGATTCGTTTAAAAATGAACAGAAGTTAAATTATTTGATTCATTTATATTTAAAATATAAAGAAAGTTTTCAAAAAATTTCGGGAAACTATAGAAGTTTTTACAGATTTTTGAAATATGAATCATTTTTAGACTTAAAACATCTATATTCTATATTTAAAGATTAATTATTTAAGTTCTGAAGATTAGATCTTTATATGCAATTTTTTTGTTCCAGACAATTCATTTTTACATTTTCAATGATATAATCTGATTCTTCATAATGGAACTTTTCTATTTTTATTAAACGTATAGGCTAATGTAATTAAGCTATTAATGTTTTCTTGAATAATATCTTGAATATATTATATAATTATAGAACATATTAATATACAAACATATGATAAGCATAGATGTTGAGAAATAATACATTAACTATCCATGCAATTTGTAAATAAATGATATCATTATTCTAATTTTTTATTTTTTTTTTTTTTGTTAAACTTGTTTTATATATATAACTTGTAATTATTCAGCATACATTCATACGCCATATATATCTAATTTTCATTTAATTCGAGTTTTAAATATCTAAACGAATAGATAGAATAAATATCTATAAAAATAAAAATAAATTATTAATAATTAAAATACAAAAAATTTAATAATATTTTATCCTTTTTACAACTTACAATCGAATAAACTCGTTGAATTTTTAAAGGATAGTCGTTTCTCAAGGCTCACAAAAAATCGATTATATATTCAACGCACGATCGTCGGCACGCTTCACACTTCGATCGCTGCAAGTCGATATAATTCGGTGATTCTGCACGCAACTGCGATATCAAACTTATATCTCATACGTGCGGCCACTGTTAAATATACCGAACTTTCAGCGGTGCGACATTTCATAGTATACGTACATCCTCTGATATATAATTATACCTCCGGTTATTTGCCAATAATCATTTCTGTCAATATTCCTTATAGGTCGGTCGTTTTTTTTACTTCGAGAGATTGATCTATGGAAATGCTGAAAAGGTTTTTATATATTAAGATATTGTATCTTTAGGATCTTTTTACAAATATTTATAGCGATTATCTGATTAGATTTATATCTAATCAAATACAATTGTCTATCGATAAAGTTGCTTGTTTATAAACATGAATTTGTGAATGTTAGATAAATGGCGTTAATTCATAAATTAAGATAATAAAAATTTAATTTCATCACGTTTCTTTACTTTCAAAACTAATAAAATTGATTCTTTGATAATCGAATTTTTATTAACTTTTTTTTAATTCTATATATCTATTTAATATTAAAATTGATCTATAATAATATCTGTTTAAATATTATACAAAAACAAAAAATTTGAAAAAAAATTAATTTTTAATATTAATTTTAATTGGATAGAATATATAACATTTAAATAGTGTAACCATGCATGTAATTTAAAATTTTAATTTAAAATCTATGTCATACAATTTTACATTTTCTAAATCAATACTTTAAATAAATAGAAATCTAAAATAATTCTAAGAATAAATAATGTTTTAATAATAGATAGATTGATTATAGATCAATCTTAAAATTATTTATTATTTAAATTATTGAAAAACTTTGTAGCTACTATCATTTAAAGTTTAGATAAGAAAAATTGAATTAAATATTTTTTTATAGCAAATACAACAAATAAATAATGATCTAGGCGACTAATTATTATCAATATAATATATTTAAAAAATGTAGATATGCAATCATAATGAAAATTATTGTATATGGATTTTTGCAAAAAAAAAAACATTAGCTTCTTCTTTCTTTTGAAGTTATGAATTAAAATTAGAAATGATTAATTCGAATAGAAGGTTCCATTACATTGGCGAATATCAATCGCTTGCAGCAAGAAAGAAATGTATACAAATATCATAATCGTATTATATGATTTCATCCGTAGATAAAAAATCAGCGCCTCGATAACTCAGGTATGATTTCTGTTTTGTTTTAGTTGTAGTATATACGCAATTACTTTAACATTCGTTTTTTTTTTTTTAATTTGAAGAAATCTGAAACGTAAAATTATTTTTTTATTATTATTAAAATGTAATATCGTTTATGTAAAAATAAGTGAAAATTAATACGAAAATTAATATTTATTTTTTACTTTAGAAAAATTTTCAATATAAAATTATTTTTATTTATTTATTCGTTATTTATTCGTATTAAAGTATTTACTAATGTTTACAAATTATACATAATAATATTCACAAAAATAAGCAATAAGTTTAGAAAAAATTAAGTGAGAAATATGTAATAAATTTTTTATGGATAAGATTTAAAAAAAATGTAAAATTTATAAGTTCTCACTTTTGTTCCTTTTCTATCTGAAGTTGATTTTTCATCAGGATAGCTGCACTTTCTCTGTCACCTTGCATATTTTATGCATGTATTTCGTTTAAAATTTCTCTTCTATTTACAAAACCTATTTCTGTATTTTATCACCACATATATTTTACATTTCTATTTAACTTGTGCCTCAATTTATCCTGTAACTTATAAAATACTATACGAAAGTAATACATTTAACCTAGAAATATTATCAAACATATTTTTTCAATGTATATTTAAAAAACGAAAATTTAAAACTGAATATTGAGTTCTCGAATCTCAAAATATTTTATTATTTTCACAAATTTCTTCTATTCATTATATTTTCATACTTTTTAATATAATTTTCTATACAAATAATAATCTTTCACCTTTTTAAGAATCACGATCCACAAGTTGAGAAACACTGGTTCAGAGAACCATCATTGGCAAAGGCATTGAACCGATTCGCACAATTCCAAAGAACAGGATACCCATTCGACGTATTGCCTAGCAACCCCGAGTCACGACGATTTCCCCGATGGGCCACGATGATTCGAGACGGGGCTAATTCGCGAAACAGTGTCGGATGCATCCTAGAGGCTCGTCTCGAACCAACGGACACGCCCTCCTCGTTACCCACTGCTTCTCTCCTTTCCCTTTTTCATGATAATATCTTGGCAAATACCGAGGCAGAGGTACCCTTTAGCCTCGACCAGGCTGCCGCCTGCACGCGTAATACCCTAAAATTAAACAGGCCACGGCGCCAGGGGCGAGCTTACAGTCAACGTTCCCCTGAATCATCCAACTACTATGAATTGGCTGGAAATCGACTAGATATCGACTAGATATCGGACAGGAATCGCCGCTGTTCGATACTGACGTCTCGCGATGGACCGCGTCGACTAATCGATAAGCCTATCGACTCGTCTTGCATCGTTGGTCAAGCAAGACGCCGCATATCGACGTGCATTCACACACTTTACTGGTGATTGTACTTTGCATAGACGAACTGTAAATTATTTTATACGACATTCGAGCACCCTCGTTCGAGTTATCTTGATACGTTTTTTTTACGATAATTTTGGTTTTATTCGGAAGAAATATTTATAGTGGATAGTTAACATTAATGACTAATCAATGAAAAGTGATTCGAGTTTAACATCGATGGTTTGTCGATAAAACGATATTTGAGTGTGATTTAATCGAAAATGATTAACTTTTGGGAAGATTTTTCAGTGCTGATTTTTAAGGTTAGATTTTTGCATTTATAAAATTGATTCATTTATTGGATTAAATAAAACTTTGGAATTGTGCAATACAAAATATGATTGATCAATAATATTGGATAATTTGTCGATTAAGTGGTATTTCATTGATTGATGTGATTTCGTATGGTTTTGTTGGTGTGATTTGATCGAAGTGCTATTTGAAATTTAGCGGAAATTTGTCGCAGATAATTTTTAAATTTAGGCTTGACTAGTTATGTTTTTGCGTTTTGGTTCATTTATTGGATTAATTTTAAAATTGTGCGTATAAAATATGATTGATCGATAATATTGAATGATTCATCGATTAAGTTTGATTTTAAATGAAATAGTTGCTGTTTAAGAAGAAATTTATCGGAGACAATTTTTAAAGTTTGATTGGTTAAGTTTTTGCATTTATGGAGATCATATATCAAATTAATTATGACCGTTGGTTAGCAATGAAATCAATAAAGTAGAGACACATAATTCAAGATAAAATCTTTGCAACATAACCTGTCTGTTAGATTGTACGGTAGGTGCAGAAATTTTCTCTATAATTTTCTTGTCTCGATTTATTATAGTAAATCATTCAATTATACATTCTTTCTTCTTTCAATTCTGAATAAAATTATCTGAATAGCCGATTTTTAATAAAAATCTTTAATAATAATGCATAATAATTTAATTAAAATATATTTAAAGAATTTCGAAATTTATTATAAATAATATTATCTCATTATACTTAACCTATATGATCAAATTGTCTAATTTAATTTTTTGTTATTTTCAAAAAAAATTCGAAGAAAAGATAATTGATTAAATATTTTATCGAATTATTTCTTGAAAAATTATCTTCTTATTTTTATCGTGGTATGAAACATTCTCATTAAAAATTAATTTCGTGTAAATTTTACGTACATTTTAAAGTATTAACTCTTTAATCATTTAATATTACTTATATGCAATATAGTACTTTAATTATTTATTAAATAACTAAGCAATAAATAATATTATAAAAAAATACTTTTTCATTATCAGTAATTAATTAAAAATAATTGTTTCTTCTTTAAAAATTTTGATTCTAAAAAATTATTCTTTAATTAAATCTATATATCATAACAGATTCACGAAACAATAAAATAAACAAATGAAACAAGATAAACTAATCTGCTCTACATAAAGTTTATCAAGAAAGATAAAATCTTAACAAGATCTTGTAGAAAAAAAAAAAAAGAAAAATAAAAAACACAGCAAATACCTCACGTTGTCCAACAACACCATGTAACATCAATCCTCTCGGTTCGTATGTTCTGGTGGTCTGTTCTTCTGCCATCAAGTCGATGCGCAACTCGTTTCGCCTGTCGGATTCAATAGTGGAGCATCTAAAACATGTAGGATGAAAATAGATACGGCAATGTAGCCGGGACATTTTGCGCTTTCCTATCCGTCTGTGACGACGAATTCCGTTTTGCCGTTTCGTGTGAAGTACCGTTTGCTATGAGACGTGAATTCCTTGTATGTTACGAAATTTTCCAGAGAAGAGAGCTTTTATCTTTCACTCGTTGTATGCTCCACGAGTGAGGTTCGAAATTTTGTGTCGTAGCGATCTTGGATATACGTAGTACACATCTTTATACCGTATGGTGGAGAAACTGATTATTAGTGTTGTACAGCCGTTAAATATTCAACATACACTTAAATATTCATAAATTGATCTTTTTATCACGTATAATGAGATTCCCATAAAACGTATCGTTCGTGCACATGGATTTAAATTAACGTCATAAAATCATGAAATTGATTTCTAAATCATGGAAAAGCAAAATCTCGACGATGTTCAGAATCATATCTCCATTTATTTATCATAACGAATAAGGTATAATGAAAATGTTTTTATAAATAGACAGATTCGATTATTTTGCTTATAAAATTGATTAAATTGTCCATTTACTTTGAATTACGATCAATTATCATTATCATCGAATTATGAACATCGACGTAATTTATGAGTATGCAGCTCTCGATAATTTATACGTAAATAGTAATAATAATAATTACCTTAAGTATTAATTTTAATAATTAATCCATTGATGTTGATCAAAAACACGAGAAAGTAATATTTTGGCAGATTTACGCGAATCTTTTGATTGCATTTCGTTTCAATGGCGATGTCATCGGTGTAGAAAATCCTCGAGGTGCGTGGACGCCCACTTAATAACATATTACCTGGCTTAGTGACGGATTATTAGTCCAGTCCTGTCCATTAGTGCGGATTTTCACAATGAAAGCTATTCTCCTTAAAAATCTCTTTTGAAGATAACATCTTCTCCGATGCATATTTTTCATTTTTTTCTTCTCATCTCATGGCAAATTTATATTCCAAAATAAAATTGTTAGATGATGATTATATTATATTTATATTTATATCAGTACATTCCATGATCCAATTGTGTTTCATATTCATATTTAATTCAAGTTATTCAGGATTCAAGTTATTTTATAAGTATAAAAACAATGATATTAAATATTTATTGTATGTTATGTTAGGATAGTTAGTTATCATGAAATAATAGCAATTGATTGATAATAAATAATATTATTTATTATTTTTCGTCATTGAAATTATGTAATTCAATAAAAATAAGTGAGAGAAATTAGAAAAATTAGATTACATTATATTTGAAAAGAAATATTTTAATTCAAATATTAAATTACATATTGTATGATATAACTTTGCAAAAATTTATATTTTAAACGTGAAATGGAATAAGATAATTATTTAGATCAATGGTATTTAGATCAACTTGAATGATATAATAAATAATGACGCTTATCTCTCATACTTGGTCAAAAATAAACTTTACTTATTCGTTAACTCTAATATAAAGAAAGAAGATATAATTACAATATTGTTTTATACTACATTGTTTTATGTATTATGTACATAAATTTTCTATAAATACACATTAATTGCACAATGTATACAAACATTTAATTTGTTTAATATCAATTTTTTCACGCTTAATATGTAGCGATTAAAGACTTTCCTGTTAGGATGTTTGCATTAATTATAACGTGAACGAATTGTTTCGTATATATAACCTAGCTTTTAAACAATTCAAGGATGTTTCCATTGAATACGATCGTCATTCAAGTGTCACATTTCTTCAATGTTTGAAAGAATCAATTTTATTGATCTTAAAGAACGTATAAGTCTTTCCAGTTCACTATATATCCTTTTGTAAAAGCTTTTAGTTAGGTCGTTAAATTGATTATCAATAAAGAAACGAACAGTAACAGGTTATAAAGATTGAATATGAGAAGAAGAGAGAGGGAAAGAGAGAGAGAAAGAGAAGCGTTTCTTGGTCAATTTATTATGGAAAGTAAATAGTAATAAAATGTTTATTTTGACCGGAACGTGGCGTGGAAATAATCATGTCTGTTTGATCATCTATGCTCGTAGTAACAACTGCTGCTTTCTCTCTGAGAAAATTCTTTTTATCGCACGTGTCAATTTGTCACCGGTTTTATTTGATTGCAGGGATCTAACTGTTTCAAAAGGCTCGTCACTCGGCTCTTTCTCCTCGAACGAATCACACCATAGTTTTGTACTTAGTTAATAGACTTAACACACGTTTGAAATGGCTATCAACGTTGTATAGGATAATTCAGAAATTGGGACGAAACTGTGGAGCTAGCTTTCTAAGAGCAAAGATTTAAGAAGTTAGAGAGAAAAATTAGGATATCGAGATATATTTAATAGTTTTACAAAAAATCGTAGCAAAATTTGTCGTAAATCTTAAGATTAATCAAGCACTTTTTTTAAAAAAGTGAACTCACCAGAAATGTGACGAAATTTGATCATTCGATTTCTACGTAAAAGACATTTAATTATATTACTGTCATCAGATCACTAAAATTTGTCATAAACTTCAGCATTGACTTATTGCCTGTATAAAAAGATAACAGGCAATAATCCAACGACTAATGAAAAAATATAATTTGGCGGAAGAATCTTACGAAACATGATCATTCAATGG